GGTTTTTTTTTTTTTTTTTTTTTTTTTTTTTTTTTTGCTATTAGAGAATTATGCCCTTGGTGACTTGGGAGCATTGATTGCCCTGGCCCCAGGGGATTGATTGCAAGTGACGCAAGAAAAAGAAGAAGAAGAAGTAGCAGAAGAAGAAGAAGAAGAAGAAGAAGAAGAAGAAGAAGGTTAGCTATGGCCAAATTGCTCTTTACCCACAATTGAAAAACTTGCAATTTCATGCAAGAAGACTACCTGCGATCCTGGAGGTCCTTCATTTGCCGGCCATTCAGTGAACAAAGAATGGAGAATGGATTAAAAAAAACAGAAAAAGAAGAAGAAGAAGAAGAAGAAGAAGAAGAAGAAGAAAAAAAGTGATGAATTAAGGTGGATTCCATGGATTGTTTCATTTGAGAGCGTGAAGGAGGACAAAGTTTACGACCATCCGCTTTGATCATGCCACTAGGCATTTGATTCAAGCATTGGACAATGATTCGAAGACTTTGTCGCATTTCTTCAATGTGGGTGGACACAATAAAGATCTCGAAATGCACAAAAGACAAAAATCATGGTGGTGTACCTTTCCATGTTCTAGCGGAAGATTCACTCTCTTTTTGTGCAAGTCCAGAGTAGTGCAGCTGGGCCCAAGGATTGGAGACCCGAGAATGGATAAGGATCTATCCACGTGGAAGCTTTTAATTTGATCATGGGAGGGGAATGGCGAGTGCATAAGCTTTTTTTTTTTTTTTTTTTTTTTTTTTTTTTTTTTTTTTTGAGCCTGTTTTTGCCGAGCCTGATTTTCACTGCGCACCGAGTTTTGCCAAGCGGGGCCAGTTTCATAGGAGAAGGAACAAGCTTAGGAAAAACAAGAAAGAAGAAAAACAAAAAAACTCGAGCTTCCCGAATGCCTCCATAACTACCAGATACATTCTATGAGGTGCTTGTGGACGTGCTCAAAGTCCTCAAAGGCTGGTGCAGCCAGGCAAAACAAGCAAAACAAGTTTTTTTTGTTGCCCTGGTGGATAGGCGCGAAAGGGCGCGCTGGCCGTTTTCAGGCTCGGCATCGATAGCTGGGTCAAGAAGGGCGATGGCCTAGAGGTATTATGATCATGGGACTAACCTGCCCAGGTAAATTCAATCTTGTGTCTAATCTGACACCCATGGCCAAGTCCCACTAACAGTGTTGAGTTTCCTCAATGCCTGAATCTGGACGCGTTTGAGTCCATGTGCAGTTGAGGAATTGAAGAAACTCAACGCCACTTCTGCACATCTCAACAAATGTTGTCCAGATTAGGCGTTGAGGAACCTCAACGCTGCTAGTGGGACTTGGCCCCGGGTGGCCTTGTTGTCTTGGGGTAGCCCCCAGTGGGGAACACCCCTCGGCCAGGGGGCAGCAGGTAGCAGAGGGACAGAGCATCATCTGAGTGGGCAGTCTCTGTGCCTCCCCTATTACCCCTCCCCCTATGAACAACAGCAGAGACTTTTTCTTTTTTTCAAGTGCCAATTGGGGGGACCAATGGGCTATCTCTAGGTGGCGGTTCCCAAGCATGCCCACGAAGGTACATGAGG